GGGGCCGTGGCAAGCCTGGGGAAGGCGGCACATCCCCACCCTGGGGGAGTGGGGACAGCGGCCCCTCCTAGCCTTGCTCTGGGGAAGGGTGGCCTCCCCACGCCTGGCCTGCCTCTCTGCCTGGCAGGTGGAGAGGTCTTCGCCTCCACTTCTCTCCTCTTTCACCCTGTCCCGTTGGGTCCCTTCCCTGTGAGTTTCTGCTCATCCTGAAGCCCCCACCCCCACCCCGGGGCCCAGCCCCCTGATTGGATTCTCCTGCCGGTGGCTCTGTTCCTCTGTGTGAATGGTGGCCGCACCTTCCCCACCCTCCCTGGCTCTTTTCCAGGCATCTGTGGGAGACAGGTCTGGGCTGAGCCTCCACTCCCTTCGCCCCAGCCCCACCCCGCTGCTCTGGACCCCGCTGGGCCGCTGGGCTTCTGACCCCACTCTGGCTCAGCCAGACCCCAGAATCCCATTGACAAACCTCCTCGCTCCCTGGTCCCCGGGCTCTGGCCAGAGCAGCTCTGGGGTGGGCAGCCGTACGAGAACTCAGAGGGTAAGACCCCAGGACTAGCGCATTTTCCGTGAACAGACCTTAGGGAGAGGGTGTGGGTGCTCGGAGCCGGGGCCCGTGGCTGGCCGGGTCAGAGCTGGGGAGTCCTCTGGGCTCACTTCTTGTCCCTCTGCATTTCACATGGACAGTGTCCGGCCCTGGGCTCAGCCTGTGCACTCGGTGGCCTTGAGTACTTGTGGTGTGGCATTGGGGCCTCAGAGGTGGGAGGGGCCGATGGCCAGCCCTGCGAGCTCCGGGCTCGGGCACCTGGGGAGGGAGCGTACATGCTGGCTGGCCCTGGGTGCTGGCTGAGCTGACTGCCACCCCTGTGACCACAGCGTCCTAGGGTCAGGTTGCGCTGTCGGGTGGGGAAAGCACAGCAGGAGGAATGACCGCCCGGGCCCAGAAAGCTGCGTGGGTTGTTGGATGCGGGCCTGGTGATGCGCCTGGCCGTCGATGTGCTGGTTGGTTCTGGCCGTCTCTCTGGGCGCCTGCTGTGGACCAGGGCCAGGCACACGGCTTCGGCCAGACTCCCTGCCGGGCATGCTCGCCTCGCCAGCCTTTCCTGCCTCTGGACCAGTAGCCCTGCGGCTGCCCCGATGTCCCCCGATGAGCCGGTGAGCACGCCTGTGCCCTTCCCTGCTAGCTGGCCACAGGCTGGCTCACCACCTTCTCCAGGAAGCCTCCCCGTCGATCAGCCATCACCATGTCCTCTCCTCCGAGTGCAGCGTGAGCTCCGGGGCCGTTTGTGTGTCCCGGGCAGCTCAGTGTCCTCAGTGAGAGCCAGGCCTGGGGGCTGTGCCCAAGGTGGGGGTTGTCAGCGTTCTGGCCTCGGGCGCTCCCAGGGCTAGAGCTGGCCTCCCCACAGCCTTTGCACGACAGCCGGGGAGTGAGGCCAGGCAGCCGCCGCCACCAGAGAGCCCCGTCACGCGCACGCATGCATGTGCACACGTGTGTGGGAGGCCTCCGGCGCAGCTCCGGGCCGGCCCTCCGCGGGTGTCTCCCGGGCCACACTGGGCCTCGGGCTCTCTGGTGTGGCGCCAGCGTCTGGTGCCGCCCAAGCTGGCTGGTCCCCAGAGGAGAGTGTGTGGGGCTGAGGCTGCTCCACCTTGGGCTCCCCGGGGGGCCCATGTGTGAAAGAGGAGGGCACCCCCGTTCCTCCCGGCCCCAGCCAGGGGCAGCTGCAGTCAGGAATGGCAGCTGGGCGCTCAGAAACAACCGTGGTTTTAAGTTCCCTTCCCTCTGCTTGGGTGAGGAGTCCCGCCGGGTAATGGGTTTACCACGAGGCTGGCGCTGGGATCAGCTGGCTCCCTGCTCCTGAAATAAACTCAGGCAGCAGCCTGGGGGCGGGGGGGGGGGCGTTCTGCGTGCAGGCGGGCTGGACCGCGTGTGGCTCCAGACTGAAAGCTGACCTCCTGTCCTGGGCTGGGCTCCGGACGTCAGGGTAGAAAGAGCCAGGCAGGCGATGGTCACCTGAGGGCCCAGAGGTGGCCGGGAGGACCCTTGAGCCCTCCCTAAGGCCGATGGAAGAGGAGCCTGAGAGAGAAGCCTCCTTCCAGCCCCTTCCTGGCCCTTCTTTCCTGCCACTGGGGGTCCTGTCGGGGGCTGTCTGGTCACTGGCCTGGCCTGTTACAGTCCCTGTGTCCACTAGGGCACCTGCTCGTCATTGCGCCCCCGCCCCCCCCAGGAGGGACACAGGACCCGCCCGACTTCAGCAGGTGGGGAGGGGAGTGAGCAGAACCGGGGCCCGGGGCATCCCAGGGTGGCCTGTCCCCCTGTGAGCGGGCACAGCCTGGCCTCCTCCCCCGCCCAGCGCCCAGCACCACGGCTACCTGTGGGTGCCCAGCACCTGCTGTTCTACTCTGGAGCCTGCTGTGCCCGTGGACCTGCATCCTTGAAGTCCAGGCACCTAGGGGTCCTGGGCAGTGACTTCTGGGGGCTTCTCTGGTGCCACTCCTCTCTCGCATGCCTCTGTCTGCAGAGGGCTTAGCTCCTCCTGAGACGTGGGGGCCCAGGAGTGCCCAGCCCCCAGGAGATGGCGAGGTCCAGACCTGCGGGCTCCCCCTCAGAGGCCAGACAGGGTGCTCGATGCCTTGGCCTCCTTGGGTGCTGTTGGAGGGCCTGCTCAGGCCATGTCTTGTCCCCCTGGAACAGACTCCACAAGTGAAGGGGAGCTTGGCCGTGCTCTGCTTCCTGCCGGCCCCCCTGACCCCAGGAACATGGCACTTCTGCCCTGAAGCCCCAGGTCAGGGGCCTGTGGTGGGATGGGCTCCACGCTCAGGGGTAGTGTGGCGTTTTTGGGGCGGCACGGGGCCCTCACCCCAGCCCGGGGCCTGGCGAAGGAGCCCAGTGGCCGCCCAGCTTGGAGAGGAAAGCTGGAGCCGGCCCGGCGGGTGGGGGGAAACGGCTCCTTCTGCTGACACACAGACATTCCGCCGGGCAGAGACGCCCAGCCCGCATTTCTGCATCGGGAAAGCATTTCCCAAACAGTTTCCAGACCCCACAGCCGCGGGCCTGGATGCGCTTGGAGGCACTGGGGCGGGGGTGGGGGGGGCAGTGGGGCAGCTGTGGGCACTGTCTGCATGGCTGGTGGCGTTCTGCACTCGGCGGGTTGCTCCCTGCACCACCATGCCGAGTCCTCCTGCCTGGCCTCGTGGCGATGGAGGCCCAGAGCCCTCCGCAGTCCCTGGTCCTTCAGGGGCATGCTGCTGGAGCTCATCCCATACCTTGTGTTGTCCTGGGTTCTGAGGACCTCACTGTAGCCCTCAGACATTGCTGGTCCCCAGAACTGTGTCCTGTGGGCAGGACTTGGGGGTCTGCACAGGAGACCGAGGCTGGTGCCCCCCGCTTCCTGTCTTTGGTTCCTCCTCCCATGGCCCTGGTCCTGAAAGACGTCAGAGTGGAGTCTGCATGGGACTTAGTGATACTTCGCGGGGTCTCTGCAGGGCCTTCACCCCAGAAGGGTGCTAACAGAGGAACCCAGGCCCTGTTGCCCAGCAATCTCTGAATCAGAGCTTCTGATGGTGTCCCTCTGCCACTCCCTTGGAGACAGAGCTTGTCTCCATGGCCTCCTGTCCCCCTGCCTCCTGGCTGGTGGCTGCAGATGGGGGGACCCTCGGGTTTCTATGAGCACTGGTTTGTGAGCTGTTGGAAAATGAGATTTACATTGCAGTAATAAACTGCTAGCTCACGCGGAAGGCACCGTCCAAACAGCGATCTGACAGTGTGCCCATCAGAGAGACTTAGGGAGGCTTCCAGGGTGAGAGGCTGGAGTTCAAGGGCTTGTGTGCCGTTCAGAGGAAGGACAGGAGAGAGGCTCACCCAGGAGGCCGTGGCAGACAGGCAGGCAGGCCCCAGACAGGCCTGTTTCTGCCCTGCCAGGTGCCTGGTAGGCAGGGGGCCAATGGGAAGTGCTGGCCTCTGCACTGCAGGCAAGACTGGGCATGGTGAAGTCGTGCCTCTCTCCCACGGGCTTGAGGTTGCCCCCTGCGACCCCTTGTGGGCTGGGCAGAGTGCCAGCCAGCAGGGCCTTGGCCCCAGTAGTGGACCAGGAGGTGGAGGGCTGGCCTGGGCAGTGTCCCAGGGGTGAGACCTCAGGGGCAGCATGGGGCTGCTGGTCAAATGCTCATGAGGCCTGTATGCATAGGTTCTTAGGATGCTGCCTGCTCTGGACCAAGCTGGAGCCTCAGGCTGTGCCCTTGAGCAAAGTGGGGGTTCAGGGGTATGGGGTAGGATGTGCCTCCAGGGCTAATGTAGCCTGACACCTGAGGCTTGCTGCCCTTTGCTAGGGAGTCCATTTTCGCTCTGACCCTCTCCCACCTGCTGTAGGGGTGCAGGGACTCCTTCTGGGTGTCAGCCCCTGTCCAGTGGAGGACATGATAGTGCAGGGTGCGGGACACCAGGCTTGGGGGCTGCAGGCGTCTTTACCCCTGGGGGATTCCACTTTGGGGGTTGGACTCGACGTGCCTGGCTCTCCATCCACCTCACACTTGACAGAACCCAAGCCCACCTGTCTTTCCGAAGCCCCCAGTGGCATTGCCAGGGTGGCCTCCTTTTCTGCCTTGCTGTCTTCCGTGTGGCTGCTGGGAACGCATGTGTCCGTGTGCATGTGCATGTGTGTGCTTGCACATGTCTGTGCGGGGTCCTGTGTGTGTCACGTGTGTGTTTGCACATGTGGGTCTGTTTGTGCACGTGTCCCTGTGTGTCTGCCCGAGGGGTGCCTGAGTGCGTGCCGCGGGTCCGCGTCGGGTGCGAGAGCGCGCCGGAATGCGCGGGGCGCGGGGCGCGGGGCGGTGCACCGCGGGTCCAGGCGGCCCGCGGGGGCGAGGCGGGGCGGGGCGGGGCGGGGCGGGGCGGGGGCGGCCCCTCCGCCTAGTGGATTTGGCCTTCACCTGCGGGGGGCGGGGGAAAGCCGAGAACAAAAAGGCGGGGGGCGGGGCGCCGGGCTCAGAGCGCGCGGGCCGCTGGGGTGCGCGCTGCTGGCTGGCCGGCCATGGGAGCGTCCCGCGGCCGCGGGGCACTGGCGGCGCTCTGGTGCCTCGGGCTCCTGGGGGGCCTGGCGCGCGTCGCGGGCACGCACTACCGCTACCTCTGGCGGGGCTGCTACACGTGCCACCTGGGCCAGGCCGGCTACTCCGTGAGCGCCGGTGACCGGAGGCCAGGTGGGCGCCGGGGGACTCTGCGAGGGTGTGGGGCGGGGGGCGGGCGCCCCGCTCCGCCGCGGGTCCCCTTTGCACCTCGTTTTGAGGCTAGCCGCCGGGCGGCTGACAGAGCGGAGGCTGGAGGGAGCAGGGCGGGGGCAGTGCCGCTGGCCGCAGCTTCCTCTGGGACAGGGCCCTTCCTCCCTGAGTCATCCGACCTTCTGTCCCCTCTCTGGTCTGGCTGCGGGGTCTGCTGACAGCTGAATGGCCTCTTGACCAGAGGGAAGAGAAACAGGCCCTTGCCTTTGCCTGTGGCACGGGGGGTGGGGGGGGCATTTGCCCTGCACTGGCCGCTCTGTGGGGGGGCAAGCAAGAAGGCAGGCTCAAGAGAGAGCCCTCTGGGGTCCCTAAGCAAAGTCTGCCATTCCAGGGTCCCCAGAGCCCGGCCCCTTGGGGGTCGCGTGTGGATGTGGCAGGTGCTATCCTTTCCGTCACCTTCACCAAGCCTTGGGGGTGTGGTCAGCCCAGTGGGCTGCAGGGTGAGCGGGGAGGACCCCAGCAGTTCATGGAAAGCGGATACACCCTTGTCCGGGTCCATCCCACCTGTCCCTGCACTGTAGATCTGCTACCCACGCTGGGCCAGCCTCCCGCAGGAGCTCCTTAGAGCTTGGGGCCGGTCATCCTCGGGAATGGGAGGCGGTGCCCGGGGAGTCAGCACCTGGGTCACAGCACGGGGCGGGGCACTCCCCTCCAGGTCGTCCCTGGCCCCTGAGTGTGGCTCTGCGCAGGGCACCTGGTCTTCTTGGAGATACTGGCCCTGCTCTGCTGTCCCTGAGCCATCCCAGCTGGGTCTCAGGCTGGGTCCCCACGGGGTGGGCAACACCCCGACTCAGTGGCTCAGCCAAGGCCAGGCCGCTGTGGTGTAAGTGCTGTGAGGCTGTGTAGCCTCCAGAGGGGGGCTCTGTGGGGCTGGGCTTTGGGGAGCCCCCACCCTGCTCTGGGGCCTGCGTGGCCTTGTGGAAAGGAGAGGACAAGGGCCTGTGGATGACGGGGTGCCATCTCTGGGCATGAGGACCCTGTGGCATGTTCAGGGGAGAGCAGGATTCTGAACTTGATAACCATGTGAGTGGGCTTCCTGGCAGCGTCCCAGAGGGCTCAGGTTTCCGTGGAAGCATGGGTGAGGCTTCAGAAGGGGCTGATTGGGGGGTGTCTGCAGGGGCAGCTTATGGACCCTGGCATGAGCCCCTGGCCCGGGAGCTGGTGGAGCCTCCATAGGCTCCCAGCAGCATCGAGATAGGCTGCGCAAAGCACTACCTGGGGAGTCAGCCCGGTGTCGGCTTGGACCCGCCTGCTCCTGGCTCCTCCCCGTGCCAGCGTGAGCTGCATCGGACGTGTGGTGGCTGGGCTTCGGGCTGGAGAGGGCAGAGGGGGTTTGTACCCGGCTATTATGACTGGTTCCATTGCATCAGCATGGGAGACTCGGGACCTTCAAGCTCTCTTTCAGCTTGGGGTCGGGGGGTGGGACCCAGGCCCCCCTCTGTGCTGTCTGGGAGAGTGATGTTTTCTCTGTAGTTCCAGCACCTAAGGTGTCAATGCTCAGTTGGGGCCCTGCCGTTTGGGGTCTCAGGGCACTGGTCCCACAGCAGGAAGCACTGGGTGTAGGCAAGTTGGCTCAGCCGGAGAGAGCAGGCCTGCAGGACAGGCCCCGGGGAGGGCATCCAGCCCCCAGAGAGCACAGTGGACCTCACTGGGGGAGCCAGGAGGTTGGGCTAGCCAGAGGCCCCGTGTCTTCCCATCTCTTTCTCCCTGACCTCCTGCCCCCTCCTTTAAGGGCCCTGTGATGACACTGGGCCCACCTCGAGATCCTTAATGTAAGCCCACCTGCAGAGTCCCTTTTGCTGGTGGGACTCTAGGGATTAGGATGTGAACCCTTTGGAGGGCCATTATTCAGCTGACCCCACTCAGATAACTGAGCCTGTGGCTGTCAGGTCACAGCCATGGCCATGGCCACGGTCACAGGGTCAGCAGCTCCAGGTGGTTGGAGTTGAGGACAGCTCTGTTCTGCCCCCACGTGGCTGCCTCTGGAGTGGGGCAGGCAGGGGTAGGGAACTGGGTCCTGCCTTGCTGCCTGAGTGTCTGTCTCCTCTGTGAAGGGGCCCCAGCAGGAGGTCAGGTGGCCAAATGCCCCACTGCCCTTCAGCAGGCTTCCCTTGCCCAGAGAGGTGAAGGGGGAGGCCTCAGGTCCTTCAGCCTTGAGCTGCCCGCCGTGTCCAGATACCCACACGGGATGACAGCACTTGGTGGCGCTGGACGTGGGGGCTGAGCGTCATTGCACCTTCCGGGCTGCCGCTCACAGGTCCTGTCCCCGCCAGGGGCAGGTTGCCGATCACCAGGCAGTGCAGCCCCAGGGGCCAGGGGAGAGCGTGGGGCTGCGGTCAGCGCATCAGCCCCTCCCGAGAGGGGCGCCGTGGGAGATGGCTTGCAGACCTGGCCCTGCGCATCTTAGCAAGGAGCAGCATTTCTGTCCACTGGTGTGGACGCTTGAGTCTGAATGTTCCTGTATGGGCAGCAGGGGGGCCAGAACAGTGGTCATGTGGGCAGGGGGTGTGAGCCAGGGCGGGAGGCCCCAGCTGTCAGGGCAGCCCAGCTGGAGGGGCCCTGCTGGCTGACGGCAGCCTCCTGCCCCTGCATTCCCCGAGTGCTTCCTCCCAGATTGTCTGTCCATTTGGTGTCCTTGCGGCCCACAGGCCTGCTGGGCTGGCTGAAGGGCTGATGCTGCCTGGGGCTCCCCTTGCGTCCTTGGACGGCTTGCTCAGACCTGCCCGGGAGCTGCTGGAGGATGTGGTCCTCCAGGTGGGCTTGGCCCCCCAGCCAGGGGTCCGAGCAGCTCAGGGGTGTAGCGCTGCCTGAGCCAGCCTCTCTCCTCGATGGGGGTCTGGAGGGAGCCGAGTGTGAATGTGGGGCTGCCTGCGGAGAGCAGGGTTTCCAGAAGCAGCGCCCCTGCATGCCTGTGCATCCGGCCCCAGGGCCACGTCAGGAGCACAGCAGAGTGCCAGAAGGACGCCTGGCAGGGCTGGTCTGGACACTGCAGCTGCCGTCCATCCCCCCCAGACAGCACACACCTGGCACATCTTCCCCAAAGCTTCGCTAAGCACCTACTGTGTGCCCAGGGCTGTGTCCCCTGCGGTCTCATCTTTACCTCTTTCTGAGCCCCCGTGGGTGGGTGCTGCCCGCCCTCCCCTTCCATCCACTCCCCACCCAGCTGACTCTCCCACAGGAGGGCCCTGGGTCCCTCTGTCCCCCACCCTCTTGGTGGCTCTGCTGGGGGCCTTTGGCCTCTGCCTTCAGGCTTCTTCCCCAGAATCTCCCGGCTCCATTCTGAGAGAGCTCCAGCCTGGAGCCATGGGCAGAAGAGAGCCTCTCTGGGTCTTTGGTCTTCTCTCTGAGGCGCTTGGCAGGGCCCCGGGGGTCTCCCCGGAGTGGACCTGGCCTGTGTGTGCAGAGGCCCTGGCCTCCTGGGATTGGTTTGGTGTCATTTCTGGGGCGCCAGGTCCATTATCAGCGCACGGGCTGGAGGCACAGTTCCCGTGCGTGTGGGAAGCATAAGCTCATGGGCAGGCATTGGGGATGGCGGGGGGAGCCTCGCCCTGTGGCCCACCTTTGGCACCCTTCACAAGTGGGCTCAGACAGCCTGCATTTTAGGATGGAAGCATGGGAGCTGGGCATTTTCACGGGTGGGAACCGGAGGATGGAGTCATGGCTTGTAGATGTTGGAGTGGAGCGTCTACGTGTCTGTCTCCCTGCTTTTGTGGTTGGGGAGGCCGGCTACTCTGTTGGTGAGGCTGGTATCTGAAGAGTGTGGACTGGCCCGAGGCGCGGGCCTGGGCTTCCGTCCCCATGCCTGGTGCGCCAGGGCCCCCCCATGTCTGCAGTGGCTCCCCCCTTGGTCTCCGTGTCTCGCGGACAGTTGTGTCCCTCACACACAGGTGTTCGCCACGCACACAGGTGTCTCAGCAGCCCGTTCCAACCACCTCAGTCGCTGCCCAGCCTCCCCGGGGGCCCAGGTTGGTGGACGGAAGTCTGGAGGGAGAGGTGAGAGGTGAGGGCAGCCCCCACCTTCCCTGTGCCTCTGCATACCTGCTGGAGGAGGTGACCCTCCTGGGGTGCAGGCCCGCGGGCCTCCAGCTCTAGGGAGGGTCTTTCTCCCTCTCCAGTTCTCAGCTGGGCTCCTGGGGAGGCTACCCAGGGCCTTTGGGCTGGCCTCATCCACTTCTGGTCAGCACGTTCCCTGGGGCCTGAGGTGCGGTGGGCACGGGTGTCCTGCCCTGGTGGTCGGTGGCCTCAGATGGGGGGTGTTCTCCCAGAAGTGACTGGGTCCTGTCTGGGGGATGCTGCTGGTGTTCTCCCGTCCCCCTGGCATCGGGAGGCCCCTGGGGGACCCAGGCAGACATCATCCGCGTTAGTTCCCTGGGACAAATACAACAGTAGACATTTATTCTCTGACTGTTTTGGAGGCTGGAAGTTCAACATCAGGGTGTCAGCAGCTCCCTCTGACCCTTCCTTCTCTTGTCCTTCCAGCCTCATGTGGCCCCCCCTTGTTCCTTGGCTGTGGCCACCTCATTCCAACCTCTGCCTCCCCGTGTGTCTTCTATGAGGACCCCAGTTGCTGAATTTAGGGACCCCCCCCTTATTTAGCACAGATAACTAATTACATCTGCATCTTAAGGTCACATTCTGACGCTCTGGATGGATGTTAATCTGGTGGACATTGTTCAGCCCTCCTACCCCCTGCCAAAGCCTGGGCAAGGGCATCTCATGAGTTACTGGTTTTTCCTTTTGGGCTCATGGGTCCCAGAGAAACAGCTGACACCGTCCTGAGAGTATTTCTGGATTTGGACTTTGGAATCGAGCGTGAGCTCCAAGTTCAGTCTTGAAAGGCGTGAGGAGCTGGGCCTCTCCCCACCTCAGCCCAGTGCCCTCTGCAGCCCTTGCATTGTCTAGACCGCCGCTCCCTGCATTCTCTCTGACCCCCAGGGCTCCCCACATTCTGGCCACCCCCAAGGTGGCGGCCCCGCCCCCCGAGCAGGCTGGCCAGGTATGAGGGGCAGGCTCCGCCTTCTCCCCACTCTGCTCTGGCTAGCGTGGGCCCAGAGCTCAGAGCTTGGGCACCTGGGCGGGGTTCCATGTCCTCAGTGAGGGGGCCCGGATCGGGGTCCCTGGGGCGGTTAACCCTTGGCCCTGTGTCCCTGTCCAGATGTAGATGAGTGCCAAATGCACAACGGCGGCTGTCAGCACAGATGTGTGAACACACCAGGCTCCTATCTCTGCGAGTGCAAGCCCGGATTCCGGCTCCATGCGGACGGCAGGACCTGCTTGGGTAAGCGCCCGGCAGCCCTGGGTGTGGCTGGCTCCATCCCGGGCCCCGTGCTACCTCCCTGCCTGGGCTGCTGGCCTCGGCAGTGCCCCCACTCTCCTGGCTGTGCCCACTGGGCTGGGGATGGGGCCCCTGTCCTCCTGGACTAGGAGACCCTAGGGGGCTTGTCTGCTCAGTGGCTCCATCCTGCTGAATGTGTGCAGCTCCTTGGGGTTCTCGCTGGCCTATTATGGGGCAGGGCTCCCCCATGCTGAGGCTGAACGCTGTGACCCTGGGATGCTGAGGCCATGTTCCTGGGGTGCCGTTCTTGGGGAGGAGCCCCTGGGCCACCGCACTATAGAGGGCCTTCTCAGCCGAAGCTGTGGTGGTGGGTCAGCAGGGTCCCAGGCCCAGGGGCCAAATTCGGGAGCGCCTTGGGTGCTTGCTGGGTGGCAGGGGAGGCTGGTGAGGGCAGGGGCAGGACCAGCTTAAAGCCACTCTTGGCCTGCAGAGCTGGGGTTCCTGGGCCCAGGCTCACCCACCCCAGCCTTGGGAAGCATAGGGGGCTGGGCTGTGGCAGGTGGGGAAGCGGTAGCTGAGAAGCAGGACCCCAACCCTCACTTCCTCTGCAGGGCCTTTTTTCCATGGGAAGTAGACTTGATGGAGGTGCCCTGGCCACAGCCTGCTGTCCTTGCAAGCATGGCGGGTTACGAGGGAGCCGGGGGACGGTGCCGGGCGCCCACTGAGGTGGAGGGTGGGGGGGCTGCTGGCCAGGGTCTGGTGTTGAGCACTCAGCGCTCAGTCCCCCCCCCCGCCCCTCTCCTGGCTGGCTCTGGACGCAGGGGCCAAGAGCACGGGGCTGCTGTGTCTGGGAGGCCGTGTGGTGGTCATTCTCTGGGGGGCTGGGGGCAGGACCCCCCTCGTTTCCACCCTGGAGACAGGGAGTGGGCGTGGCAGGCTCGGAGTGGCCTCATTGCTGCTTGCCTTGTTGCTATGTGGCAGGGAGGCCCGCCAGCCCCGGGGGGCCCTCCGGGCACACACTCTCACGTGTCCGGGTGTCCGCAGGGAACGAGGCAGCAACTCCGCAGTTTCTCCGGGTCGGGAAGTGGAAACAGATGTGGGAAGTGTTGTAATGTGCTTCCAGACGAGCCTGACGGGGTTGCAGCCCCCAGCTGCTGCCCTCTGGGGGCTGGGGGGGCGCTCCTGGGAGCCCGCTGGCTCACCCAGGCCCCCGGACGTCCTGGAGAAGGGTGTCCCTGGGGGCTGGTCCAGGGTGGGCCGGGCCGGGCCTGGGGAGTGCCCACTGCCCCCTCCCTGCTGTGGGCTCCCCTGTGAGGGGCCTGGGGCTGGGGCACACCTCCCCCTGTCTCTGGTCTCCCCATCTGCCGATGACGCCTTCCCTGAGGTGCTGGATGGCAGGAAGGCCCGCTGGTGATGGGTGAACAGCATGCAAAGAGAGGGGCGCCTTCCTGGGACAGGCTGTGGCCTCTGAGAGTGGCCTTAAGCTGCTGGCTGCGGGAAGTTCCGGAGGGGTGCCCCCAGCCTTGCCCCGGCCCTCAGCCCACCCCCCTGCTACACTGGAGCTCTTCCCAGGAGCCTTCCCTGCGTGTGCTCTGGGCTCCAGAAGTCTTGATTTGTGGCATTGGCTTGTTTTAAAGGTCTCTTCGGGGTCTGATGCCAGGGCTCCTGGGCATGGTGTGCACAGCCTGGCAGGAGGCTGCTGGGACCTCACGGCCCCTCTGCCCGGCACCCCCAACACCACGCACTCAGGCGGGCCCCAGGCGGCCTCCGGCTCTCTCAGTGCTGGTGCCCACCTCCTGGCTAATCCCCATCGCTGGAAGTGGTTTTCTCAACGCTGGTGTTTGGCCTCTCTCTCTCTTTTGACCATGGCTCCCAGCAAGAAATGCACACTCTGCCCCAGTTACCTGCACACCTGGCTCTTTTTGGTGGCTTTTTTGTACCAGGAATCCCCGGGAGCTGACAGCTTGCCAGGGTGCAGGCCGGTGTCTGGGTCCCCCACAGGGGTCTGGGGTTGGGGCGGGTTTGTCAGGCTTGGTCCACTGGGAGCTGCCTTTCCTGGAGGGGCCTGGACTTTGCGGAGAAACTTCCAGAGTGGACAGGGGTCTCCAGGGAGCTTCTTCACAGGCAGAGTAGGAAGTGTTTGCCCTTCTTGCTGATGTACCCCTTTTGGTTGCTGGGGGACCTGCCCAGCCACAGTGGTGGATGAGCGGCTTCTAGGTGGGGGCCTGGTGGAGGGCGTTGCTGGACCCTCCTCAGGCTCTGAGTGGTGTGGAGCTGGACGGACTTCCTGTCACTGAGAACTGTGGGGCTCTGTACCCCTCTCCTCTGGGACTCCCAGGGTACAGGGCATGGGGAGGAGCTGGGCCTTGTCTGAGGTTTCCAGGATGCCTTCTGAGCTCAGATCACCCTAGGGCTGCAGCTGATACTTATGGGAGGAATTAGTATAGGAATCCTGCCTGCCCCCCCCCCCCGTCCCCGCCCCGGGCAGCTACGGGGCTGGCTGCACAGCTGGAATACAGCTGCCTGGGAACCTCCTCTGGGGCCTGCTGGGATCCTCTTCTGGAGGAGGGGTGCTGGGAGCTCTCCTGGGACTTTGTAGGCTGGCAGGAAACAGCCCCAGGCGCCTGCTCCCATCCAGCAGCTGGGAGTAAGAAGTACAGAGATGCTGGAGAAGGAGTCCCCCCCCCCCCCCCCCGGGATATGACCATCATTCCTGTGTTGCCAAGTCATGGGGCCCTGAGGGATGTGGGAAGTCCTCAAAGGCACACTTGAGAGGGGGCCTTGAGACACTTGTGGAACTTGCCTCCAAGGCAGGGAGAGGACAGGAAATGCACAGCTTTCTCCTTTGCAGAAGATCTGGTGGAAATAAAACACAGAAAGGTTTCAATTCTTAAAAATGAGAATTTGCCAGAAGGATTTTGCCATCAGCCCAAGGCCCCTGAGCACCACCCACTTAGCCTGGGCCCCAGTGAAGCAGCAGTGGCCTGGCATCATGGGGCACTCCATTGCCAGGGAGCCTTCCTGGGTGTGTCCCCAGCCTCTGGGGTGAGAAGAGCAGGGCCCAGCGTTCGTCTGCCCTGCTTGTCACCCTCTGGTCATGGAGCTCGCCTCTTTCCTTTTCCAACTTGGGGCAGTAGGGCCTGGGAGTGCTTTGGTTAGGTGACATGTTTAGGAAGGTCATTCTTGCTTCTCTGTGACATCTTGCAGAGCACCAGCCTGTAAACCCACAGAGACCCGCCACTGGGTGCTTTAACACTTGGTGCTGGGAAACCCACTTCCTCTGCGCAGCTGGGCGCTCTGAGCCTGCAGGACACCTGCCCTGTGGTCCCTTCTGGATCCTGCTCTTAGACATGGATGCTTCTCCATGTCCCCTTAGGCAAGCAGTACACCAGGGGGTCCCTATTAGGGACCATGGTATCACTGGCTCCACTAGTGGAGGGTCCCGTGTGATGCCCTGGGCCAGCCACTTGGAAGAGGTGGGCTCTCCATCCTCCCCTCCCCTTGGCCTCTGCTCCTATGGCCTTTTGGACTCACTCCCCTCCGCCTCCTGCCACAACACCAACCCTTGGGGAGGATTCTGCTGTCAGCATGCACTCCCCACCCCCCTTCACCAGTGGCCGGACGCCCCCACCCTGGTTCCCTCTCCTAGGAGTCCCATGGGCCCTGTGGTGCCCACTGCATGGGGGAGGGGCTCCCCAGCTCTCCCTTTCTCTGGGCCTCGGGGCAGTCTCTTTCCCTGCCAGGCTGGGGGTCTCCCAGTGAGGGGGCAGCGAGGGGAGGCCTGAGGGAGGCCTCCTGGCCCTGCCAGAGGCCCCAGCATCTGGGGCTGGTGCCAAAGCCAGAGGCAGCGGAGGTAGAGATCTCCAGGCTTGTCTCCATACCCCTCCCTGCAAAGCTGCACGTGCAGTTCTGAGAATGTTCCCAGTGCCCCCCAAACCATGAAGCAGGCTGCAGCTATGAGAAAGCAGTGTGCCTTCCCCGCCCCGTGGGCGGCCCCACCCCTGAGACGCCCCTGGGACGTCTCTGCTTTGCCCAAGCCCAGGGGCCCAGCAGTGCAGTCAGCCAGCGCCCAGGGGTGATGGGATGGTCACGCTCCAGCCCAGGGGCGCCAGGGGCAGTGGACACCCAGAGGGGAAGCAAGGGCAGACGGGGCCGTGCGGCAGGGAGGGTTGGAGCCAGGGATGGGGTTGGGCGGCTGGGCTGTGCGAACAGCAGCGGGGTGTTCATGCCTTTGCTTTACCCCGAGGTGGGCGGTGCTGGGCAGGCGGTCGGCACAGCCTGGGTCCTGGGGCCCTGTCGTGGCTGTCTCTCCCTGGCTGGTGGGTGTGTGGCCCGTGATGAGGCTGGTCTGGCCCCTGGCACGTGGGTGAGGGCGGCCACTTGCAGAGCCTGCAGCGCGGGGGCCCCAGCCGAGGGTGAGGGACAGGACAGCGCGCACAAGGCAGAGGAGCGGGCAGCCCATGCCTGGAGGGATGAGGCGGGCAGAGCCCGAGGGTGTTGCCTCTTCTGCCCTGCCGTGCTGGCCCTGTCCCCAACAGAGGGCTTTCCAGAAGGAAGGACCATGTGGGTGGCCTTGACCGCATGTGGTGGGAGGCTCTCAGGACCTAGAAACCAAGCCGGTCCGAGGACCGTAATTACCAAACCGCGTGAAGGCAGTGGGAACCAGAGCCACCCCTGCGCCTGCCCGGAAACCCCGGGGCTGGGTTTGGAGGCTGCGGCAGAGCCGGCTGGTGGGCTCGGCGTGCTGCCGACTGCGCTGCCCTCCCGCTGAAGCCAGGGCACAGCCCTTTGCCTTGCCCGCAGAGCGGCTGGGGGTCAGCCGTCCGCCGTCCACCTGCTGCTTCCTCACGGCACTCGGATGCGCCTGGCCCTGGGCTCCCGCTCCACACCCGTGCCCGGGTCTCGGGGCTGCCCCTGTGCCTGCACGAGCAGAGACCCTGGGGCACAGGCAGGGCTCCCCCCCGCCGGGGACATGTGTTTTCTGTTGTCCTGTCTCCAGCTCAGGCAGGACCCCATTGCCTTTGGGAGTGGACGCCTCGCCGGGAGGCCCCGGGTGGTGGCGGCCCCTGCTGGCGGAAGGCGGGGTTGCAGGCCAGCTCCTAGAACGCGCGCGCGGTCGGGGCTGGAGGCCTGGGTCCTGGAATTTGCACACCCGGGAGGGAGGGTGTGTTAGCTCGGGCACTGTAACAAGTCCCGCTTCCGGGCGGCTTGAAGAGCAGAAATTTATTTTCTTGCAGCTCTGGAGGCAGGAAGTTCCAGATCATGGTGCCGGCCAGCGTGGGTCCTGGTGGGGGCCCCCTTCCTGGTGACCCTTCTCCCCGTGGCCTGGGATGGAGGGAGAGACACAGGGAGGCAGAGATCTCGCGTCTCTTCTTATAAGGACACAAATTCTGTTGGATCAGGGCCACAAGTTTATGACCTCATATAACCTTAAGTTTCTCCACAAAAGCTTTGTCTCCGAGCACAGTCACGTTGGGGGTTTAGTTTTAGGGGTGCGCCTGTGAATCTTGGAGGGACACAAACACTCACCCCAGAACCTCCCGTTTTCTGCTGGGCGCTCGGCTTTGCTTCCGGTCTGAGCGTGGTCCTGATTTGCGGGAGCGCCCAGGCTGGGACGTGGATTCCACGGCCGGGATTAGAAGTGACGCGAGGGGCCTGGAACCTTCTCCACCAGCTCTGGGCACTGGCCACGCCGAAGCCGGCCCCTCCCCGAGCTGCACAGCCCAGTGCCTGAGAAGGATCTGCCTCGTTGAGCTTTCCGGGAACCCATGGCACAGGATGACACTGGGCTTGGCTCCCTCATGCACACAGCTTGGGAGCATCTGGAACGTTAGGACCCAGGCAGCAAAGTGGCAGGAGATTGGGGCCCGGGTTCCCTCTGTCTGCCCCCCCGCCATGATTTCTCCCCCACACGCTGCAGCGGGCCCTGTGCCTCATCGTCCCCAGGCCCGACTCGGGGGCTCTGCCTGGCAGGAGAGGCTCCTTGCCAGCTCTGCCACAGCTCCCTGGGGCCTCCTGGGGCCTCCTCCCTGTCCAGCCGGCTCCCCTGCCCTGGGCTCCAAGACCCTCCCTCAGTGTGCCTGTCCCACCCTGTCAGGAGGGGCTCTGGTCCCCATCACGAGCCTCCAGCAGGGATGCAGTTGGACCGTGAACACAAACAGCCCCAGGACCGGGCGGTGCTCAGGTCCTGCTCGGAAACGTCCGAGTGACAGAGCTGGCTGAAGCATAGCGTGTCAGCGGGGCCTCGGGGATCAGCGCAGACTCGGGGGTGGCTGGGTGGGGAAGGGGCTTCGCGGCTGGGCGACAGCAGATGTGGCAGCCGGCCTTGGTTGGGCCCAGGCCTTGTGTCTCTGCCGCTCCGCTGGGCACGTGGCAGGTGCAGCCAGGAGACCCAGCCGCCGCTGCCACCCTCGTGTCCCGCCTGGGCATGTCCTGCTAGGGCCAGGGCCCCCGGCAGGGGCTCCCCCACCCTACGCCTCACGTGAGGAAACTGGGTGCTCTCACGCGTGCTGTGTTTGGATTTTTCAAACGTGCTTGCCTGGAAAGGCGCTAAGAGCATCAGCGTGGTCCTAGCGTCCTCAGAGCCCGTGGCCACACGCCTGGTGTGTGTGGATGCCGTGGCTGGGCCTCAGTGCTGCCAGGCCTGCCGCCCCTGCTCCCACGTAACCCACCCGGGAGGCTCCAACAGGAGCGAGGCCGGGCCTCTGGGCCGTGGTGGCCTCCATGGCAGCCCCACGCCCACGCCGGCCCTGGCCCGACAGGAGAGCGGGACTGTCTGGGCCTCCTCCGCCCGCGGCTGGCCTGCCGCCTCCTCCGGGAGTCTCCCAGGCTGCCTGGCCTCTGGGCCCCGGACGCGCTGGCTCTCGGTGATGCGGGGTGGCTCTGGAGCGCCTGTCTACACCCGGTCCTCAGGCAGGCTGGGACAAGGATCCGGAAGCGGGTCATGGTCTGTGTACCCTGTGTATGGGCCGAGAAGCGAAGCCAGGCCCGTGAACACCATAGGAACAGTGTCCCCTCTCAAAGTCCTGCTTCTGGGGCAGAGATGGCAAGGAAGAGGGGCGCGGAGAGTCCTGGAGGGTTTCTGCGGGAGGTGCGCCGAGCCCGACGAGGGTAGGCCCCTTGGCTGGGTCGTCGTCCTGAGCTACGTGCACAGCTCCTGTCTGTGTCCCCAGCCATAACCTCCTGTGCTGTGGGCAACGGGGGCTGCCAGCATGAGTGTGTCCAGCTCACAATGACCCAGCACTGCTGCCAGTGCCGCCCCGAGTTCCAGCTCCAGGAGGACGGCAAGCACTGTGTCCGTGAGTGTGCCCACGGCCCTCGGAGAGGGCACGGGGGGCTGGGACCCCACCAGGACCCCCCGACCCACCCAGGGACCCCGGGGCCTGAGCCCAGGGCAGCCGCTGGGACTTAGGCTGGGCTCGCCTCCCTGCTTGGCCTCTGGGGCCGGAAGCGGGGCTCAGGGGGGGCAGGGCCAACTTGGCTGCCCCGAGGTGGTGGGGCACCGTCCGGCCCCGGTGGGCGTGGGGGAGGGAGCCCCTCAGGCTGTGCTCTGGGATCCTGCATCTGTTGGGGACAGGAAGCCCAGGATAGGGCATGTGGGGGATGGCAAAGAAGGACATCCTGCGTGTCTCTCAGTTCTAATGCCTGCCCTGGGCTTTGTGTGGGCATGTGGGACCCGGGCTCTGGCCCTTGGGTGGGAGACGCAGGCCGGGCCCCACCTGGCATCTTGCCCTGGGGTCTCGGGGCTTCCTGTCATGGAAGGGGGAGCTTTGCTGATGGAGATGGTGGGGCAGGCTCAGGGGCCCCAAGATGTGGAAACGGGGGGGTGCTGGGATGGGGCAGGTACTGAGAGGACTTGTCCACACCTGGTCTCATGGGTCTCAGGCCAGGAGGGAGGCTGAGCCTGAGGGGCTGAGCAGTGGGGGCAGAGTGGCATGGGGTCACAGGGCTGGGGGGCTGCAGCCTGAGTAGGAGCCTGGCTCTGAGTAGGAGGAGGCTCAGGAGGGAGGCTGGCACCCTCTGTCTTTGCAGGGGTGTCTTGGGGGCTGCCACATCTGGGAGAGGGGAGACCCCCACTGAGCCCGTTAGACTGGAGCCCAGAGGCACAAGAGCACTTGGGGGGTTCACGGGAGGCCTGGGGCACCCCAGATCTGCTGGAGCCCCCATCTTCCCTCTGGGCCTGTGACCGCAGGGAGAAACCCTTGCGCCGACCGGAATGGCGGCTGCATGCACACGTGCCAGGCACGCCGTGGCCTCGCCCACTGTGAGTGCCACGCGGGCTTCCTGCTGGCGGCCGACCGCAGGTCCTGTGAAGGTGAGCTGCCCCTCCCCGTGCTCCGGCCCCACCCTGGGGCCGGCTGTGGGGAGGCCCGGGCCCCAGCCGTCGCTGCACCCGACCTTGGGTGGGGCACGGGGAGGGACAAGGAGCCCGGGTCTCCTTTCTGCAGAAGCAGGTGGGAGACCTCAGCTTGTTTCTCAGTAGTTCTTGTATCCGCTTAGTCGTACGTGGTCGTCGGGGAAACAGAGGAGGCCACGAAGAGAAGGAAGGGAGCGTCACTGGGGCCGGCTTCTGGATGTTTCTACGGGTTGTTTGTTAGCACGCGCACTTGGAATCGTCCCAGATCCCAGTGGGGCGCCGCTTTCTAGAACGCGCGCCTTCGTCCTTGGCTTCGGGGGTGCGGTGCTTATTACCCCATCACAGGAATCTGGGGGCGCCCTTCCTGTACACGCAGCTCTGAGGAGGGGTCTTGCATGTCCCTGTCGCTGTTGGGGTGCGTCTAGGGCGGGCGGGGGCCGTTTCCCAGGCGTCCTAGGTGGGGGTCTGAGAGGCGGTGCCACGGGGTGCGAGCCCCCACAGCACCAACACCAGGACGGAGTGTTTTAGGCACCGCTGCCCTGGCTGCTGTGGGTGCTGGGGGCTGTGGCGGGCTCAGCGGGACATGGGGTGAGGGTCAGCTTCATCCAAGGAACCTCAGGGGTGCGGCCAAGAGCAGCGTCGGGGATCGGACAGCGGGATTTGGGCCTCATGGCCAGTGTGTGGGTGCAGAGGCCGATGATGGCCCCTGGTGTCCGTGGGCCCCTAGAGGCAGGCCATGGAAAGGCCCCTCCTGCGGCGGGCCCGAGACCGGGCTCGGGGACGGGGCAGCACAGCTGAGGGAGGTGGGTTCGGAGACGGACCCCCTTGCCCGATGCTGCTGGTCCAGACCTGTGTCCTCCTCACCCTGAGAGGGAGCGTGGTTCTGCCCCCGGGTGCCGTTGGCGAGAACGTGGACGCTCCGGTGGGCTGCCCCAGTCACGGAGCCTTGGAACAGGAAGTGGGGAGAGAGCCCTGGGTCTGAGCCCTGACCCCCAGTGGGACCCGTCCACACTGAGGCCCCCCCCGGGGGGCCGCACCTCCCAGGCCAGCAGCCCAGAGCCCTCCGCCTCGATCTCTCCCGTGCAGATGTGGACGAATGCGCCACAGGCCAGGCCCAGTGTGCCCACGGCTGCCTCAACACCCGTGGGTCCTTCACATGCATCTGCCACACTGGCTACGAGCTGGGCGCTGACGGCCAGCAGTGCTACCGTGAGTGGATAGTGGGTGGGCAGTGGCACCCTGGGGTGCGGAGGGGCCTGGAGCTGAGACTCAGTTCAGCGGCGGGGCGGGGGGGGTGGGGGGCAGAACATTCCAGAGCCTGCCCAGCCCAGGAGCTGGGTGTGGCCCGCTTCCCAGGAGCATGGGCCTGGGGGCTGCAGGCTGGCTGCCGGGGCCGGGGGGGCTGTGGGAGGGGGTCACCCGGACCCCGTCCTGCATCCCTGCTGCTGGGTCTCGTGTCAGGCATCGAGATGGAGATTGTGAACAGCTGTGAAGTGAACAATGGGGGTTGCTCACATGGCTGCAGCCACACGAGTGCAGGGCCCCTCTGCACCTGCCCCCGGGGCTACGAGCTGGACGAGGACCAGAAGACGTGCATCGGTGCGCAGCGGCACCCTACACGCTGCCCCCCACGCCCCCCACGCCCCCCACGCCTGGGCTGCATGTCGGCTTGATGCCATGACTTGGCAGCTCCCTCTGGTTCCCCTCTCTGTCCTGCCCACTCTGCCCTGCGCCGGGGGTGGGCCCTGCTGAGCACCTGGCATCCACACCCCATTGGCCCCATTGGACTCCCCCAGTCACTGGGTTAATGTCGCAATTGCTGGGAGTAGCACCTGGAACCCAGGGGGGGCCTGAGGGGGACCCTGCTGCGAGACGGACTCCCCACCACCTGCGGACCCCAGTCTGGCCCCCACAGCTGCTGGGGCGGCCCTGGGGCCCTGGCGTATGTCCTGTGTGTCTGTGGGGCCAGGGCAGTGTGTGGATGCGTGTGAGCGCGTGCGGGGCCCGTGTATTGGTGGGCGAGGGAGGGCATGCACGTGGGCAGGTGCCAGTGGGCCCCGGTTGTGCCCCGCAGACGTGGACGACTGTGCGGCCTCCCCGTGCTGCCAGCAGGCCTGCACCAACAGCCCCGGCGGTTACGAGTGTGGCTGCTACGCCGGCTACCGGCTCAGCACCGACGGCTGCGGGTGTGAGGGTGAGCAGGGGTGGGGGCGGGCGGGGTGGAGCGGGGGTGAGGGTGAGCAGGGGTGAGGGGGGCGGGCGGGGGCGAGCGGGGGTGAGGGTGAGCAGGGGTGAGGGGGCGGGCGGGGGCGAGCGGGGGTGAGGGTGAGCAGGGGTGAGGGGGGCGGGCGGGGGCGAGCAGGGCTGAGGGTGAGCAGGGGTGGGGGGGTGGGCGTGTATGAGCGGGGGTGAGGGTGAGCAAGGGTGGGGGGGCGGGCTGAGGGGGTGGGCGGGGGCGGGCGGGTGCGAGCGGGGGTGAAGGTGAGCAGGGGTCAGGGCGGCAGGCGGGGGTCGGTGGGTGTGAGGGTGAGCAGGGGTGGGGGGATGGGGTGAGGGCGTGGGCAGGGGCGGGCGGGTGCGAGGGTGAGCAGGGGTGAGGGGGGCGAGCGGGGGTGAAGGTGAGCAGGGGTGGGGGGCCGGCGGGGGCGAGCGGGGGTGAAGGTGAGCAGGGGTGGGGGGATGGGGTGAGGGGGTGGGCGGGAGCGGTCGGGGGCGGGCGGGTGTGAGGGTGAGCAGGGGTGGGGGGCCGGCGGGGGCGGGCGGGGGTGAAGGTGAGCAGGGGTGGGGGGATGGGGTGAGGGTGTGGGCGGGAGCGGTCGGGGGCGGGCGGGTGTGAGGGTGAGCAGGGGTGGGGGGCCGGCGGGGGCGAGCGGGGGTGAAGGTGAGCAGGGGTGGGGGGATGGGGTGAGGGGGTGGGCAGGGGCGGTCGGGGGCGGGCGGGTGTGAGGGTGAGCAGGGGTGGGGGGCCGGCGGGGGCGGGCGGGGGTGAAGGTGAGCAGGGGTGGGGGGATGGGGTGAGGGGGTGGGCAGGGGCGGTCGGGGGCGGGTGGGTGTGAGGGTGAGCAGGGGTGAGGGGGGCCGGGTGAGGGGGTGGGCGGGGGTGGGCAGGGGCAGGCGGCAGTAAGCAGCAGGCCTGGGCCCGCACCCCTGCTGCTCCCGGCCCCGCCTCCCCTGGGCTGCTGTCTGCTCTCACTCTGACGCTGGACACAGGAGGATGGCCGTGGGGCGGGCCTCCCCGGCGGCTGTGGCCGCGGCTCAGTCCAGTGGGCGGAGGCGGGGTGGGAGGGCCCCACGTCCCCGACCCCCAGAGGAGAGGCCCCAGCAGCCCCGGGTTTGCCTGCAGACGTGGACGAATGCGCCTCTGGCCGGGGCGGCTGTGGGCACCACTGCACCAACCTGGAGGGCTCCTTCCAGTGCTCGTGCGAGGCTGGCTTCCGGCTGGACGAGGACCGCAGGGGCTGTGCCCGTGAGTCTCCACCTCTCACCTCGGGGACCCCGCCTTCTGGGCACATGCTCCTGGTGCAGGGGTGAGGATGGACCCGCCTCAGCGCCCCCTCCCGCTGCGGGCCGGCCCAGGGCAGCGGGGGGGGGGAGGGGCTGGTCTGTAGGGGCATCCTCCAGTCCAGGGTCCTGCCCGGGGGTCCTGGGTGGTCCAGCTCCTGCCCTGCCCGGGTGACACAAGGGACAGAGGACAGCATCCAAGGGGAAGAGAGCTGCCCCCTCCCCATGCTTGGTCAGGAGTGCAGCTGGGATGATGCCCCCTTGCCACCACGCTGAGGAGGGGTGCAGCAGGGGCTGCTGGTGGGAGCCCACAGGGTGGGGCTCAGGCTCTGAGCCGCCTCTGGGCACTGGGCACCAAGGGGCAGGAGGGCCCAGTACCAAGGGGGACAGGTGGGTGGCAGGGGCTAAGGGGCCTTTGTGCCCCCACCCAGCCCTGGAGATCCCCGAGGTGGACCTGGATGGCCAGCTGCCCTTTGTGCAGCCCCTCCCACATGTCGCGGTGCTCCAGGATGAACGGCCTCACCTCTTCCAAGATGACTATATCGGGGTCCAGGAGGAGGAGGCGGCGGCGGAGGCCCGGGGGGAGCACACGCTGATGGAGAAGTTTGGTGAGAGGCGGGCCCAGCCATGGGGCTTCTGCTCCCAGGGACCACGGCCAGTGCCCCCTCGGCCCGGCCGCTGCCCCGCTGTGGTCGTGAGCTTGAGGAAGAGCCTGGTAGTAGTTTGACCAAGGCTCAGAGAAGGTGCTGGGTTTGCACAGCACAGGTGGGGCTGAGCCTGGCTGGACCAGGTCGGCCCTGACGTCCACCCCCCACTGCCCCTGTCTGCCCCCAGTCTGCCTGGACGCCTCCTTTGGCCAGGACTGCAGCCTCACGTGTGACGACTGTCGGAATGGGGGGACCTGCCTCCCGAGCCTGGACGGCTGTGACTGCCCCGAGGGCTGGACCGGCCTCATCTGTGATGAGGGTGAGGCCACGGGGCTGGGTGGTGTGAGCCCTGGGATCTGCAGGCAGCCACCCTGGGCAGGGGCCCTCAGGACTGGCAGCGCCTGGCATCTGCCCCTCGCAATGGTCCAGGGCAAGCAGGCCAGCAGCTAAGGCAGGGAAGGGGGTCCGACGAAGAGTAGCTGGTGGGCAGGCCGGTCATGTCCCCATCCTGGGTGAGAGCAGCCATGACCCAGGCCACTCGGCAGGCAGGTCGGTAGCTGGAGTGCCTTTGAGACCTGCTCTCCCAGCCCTGTCCAGTGACCCTGGGCCAGGCCCACGGTGCTGGTCGGTCTCCGCAGAGAAGGTGGATGTGCCGGAGTCCAGAGGGAGAGGATGCGGTGACTGATTAGTGAGGTCTGCCATGTGTTGGGGCCGGGCCGGAGGCTCGGGTGCGGCTGTCTGTTGCTCTGGGCGTCGCTTCTGAACGGGGCGGCTCACACCGCGGGACGGTGTCTCAGGGTCCCTCGAGGGGCTGCTGGGCCCAGAGTCCTTCTGCAGGCCGGTGACCCTCGTGCTTCACCGTCCCCGCCTGCAGCTTGCCCTCCGGACACCTTCGGGAAGAACTGCAGCTTCTCCTGCGCCTGTCGAAATGGCGGGACCTGCAACCCCATGACGGGCGCCTGCCGCTGCCCCCCGGGCGTCGGTGGAGCCCTCTGTGAGGACGGTGGGTGCAGCCCCTCCCGGGACTCTGGAGTGTCCCTGGGGTGGAGGGGATGGGACGCAACCTCTCAGCTGGACTGCCTGCCTTCTCCTTGCCGCCTGCCTTCCGCGGAGCCGGGAGAGGGAAGGCAACAGCGTGCTTCACTGTTTGCTTGTCCTGGGGCCCGACTGTAGCGCAGGGTGAAGACTTGGCAGACTAGCACTTCTGCAGTGGGTTCCCCATTAGGTAGTGAGCTCCCCGTCCCTGGAAGCATTCAAGTAGAGCTCTTTGGTGGCGGGTGGGATTTGCCTGGGCCCAAGGCTGCATGGGACAACACTACTGTCCTTTCGAACTGTGAAGTGTCTGCGTTTTTGAAGGAATTCGAGGGTCCCCGTAAATAAGTTTCCCAGGTGACTGACGCTTCACCTTGAAAACTGCAGACCTTCAAAATTCTGCCTCTTGTGTTGGACAGTGTAGCTAACGTGCCGAGAACTTCCTGCCTTATCCAGGGGGCAGTTTCAGTCCCTGGACCCCGTGCCCGGGGCTTCGGGGCACTGGCACCACGGGGCTGTCCTCCTCCTCCCTCTGGTCACACCTCACATGTCCGGCTTTCCTCTCCTTTCTCTTTTAAGGACGCTCGTGGATTAGGATAACCCAGGAGGGTCTTGCCTCCAGATCCTGGGGATTAGATGGGGACGTATTTCGGGGTGGCTCTTTAGCTCCCTGCAGCCCTTCAGGACACAGGACTGGGGCAGGAGCGAGCCCGGGGGAGGCACTTTGGGAGGAAATCCAGATGCCCTTTCCTAGCTGCAGCCCCCTGAGCCTGGTCTCGGGCTGCTGGCCGGCTGGGGCCGTGTGCCCTGCCTTCTCTGAGGGCCAGAGGTTGGGCTGGGTGACCACCGAGGGGTGGAAGTCAGGATGTGGTAGATGAGGGTCAGACGCAGGACATCGGGGTGAGGTCTTTGTGCATGTCCCACGCGTACGCTGGAGAATGTGCTTGGCTTTGCGCCCCGGGCGGTTCTCCAGACCGCAGACGCTGGGGAGACAGGCCAGCCGGGGCAGAAGGCCATATCCGTGGCTCGTCCTGTGTCTGCCCTGTCCTCGTGGTGCCCTTGTCTGCCCCCGGGCCCCTCCCTGTCTGGGATGCAGAGTCCTCAGGCTGCTGGGAGCCCTAGGGTCCTCCGGCCCTGCCCTGGGGGCCTGGGCCGCTGCCGGCTCCTGTGCCAGGCACGGGGGTCCTTGGAGCGTCTGCACGGGCATGGGGGCGTGGCCGGGTGGGCGCTCAAGAGGCCCTGCCTCCCGCAGGCTGCCCCAAGGGCTTCTACGGCAAACATTGCCACAAGAAGTGTCACTGTGCCAACCGTGGCCGGTGCCACCGCCTATACGGGGCCTGCCTCTGTGACCCGGGGCTCTACGGTCGCTTCTGCCACCTGGGTGAGTCCCCTGCCCGCGGCCGGTGGCCAGGGGGGCGGGGGCCATGCTGCCCACACTCCGGCTCGGGGGTGACTGTTCATCTGCAGAGGGGTCGCAGGGCTCAGCGAGGTCCCCCGGCTGGGATGTGGGCTCCAGGGACCCAGAGCCGTGTCCTCCGGACTGTGCTGGCCTCCAGGGTGTCTGGGGGGGTGGTCCCCAGCCTTCTGTTGCCTCCTGGCCCCACAATTGGGCTAACGGGTCGGCGGCAGCGTGGGTGGGGGCAGGCCTCCCGTGGAAGCTGCCGGGGCACAGGGCTCACCTTGGCTTTTGGAGTTTCCTGGCAGCAGGGGTGAGTCCTGAGCCCCCAGAGGAGTCACCCCTCCCTGGTGGGCTGGTGGGCAAACGTGGGTGACGATGAGCAGACTTGATCTGGGAGCTCCGTACTGTACTTGTAGAAGGATTATTTCAAGGAGGGAGATCGGGATTCTGAGAGCCGCCTGGCTGGGAAGTGGCGTGACCCGGGGCAAGTGCCTGGACCCCGCTGAGACCCTGTTTCTCGTCTATGAAACAGGCACGGTGGTCCGGGGGCTGGGGGCGGTGCCTCTCTGCGCGGCTCGGGGCTGGAGACCCTGGGACCCTGCAGGTAGGCAGGCCCGCCTGTTGGTTCTGTGGGTGCAGCGTGTCCGCCGTGGGCCTTCGGGCCCAGCTGCTCCGAGGAGTGCCCGTGTGAGCGGCAGAACACGCTGACCTGTGACCGGAGGGATGGTAGCTGTTCCTGCAAGGCCGGCTTCAGGGGCGAGCGGTGTCAGGACGGTGAGTGCAGGGCCGCGGGGGGCCGGGCGGGCCGCGAGCTGGCTGAGCCTGCAGGCCCCTCTCCCCTCGTCCCCTGCAGAATGTGTGCCGGGCTTCTTTGGGCCCGGATGCCGGCAGGCGTGCACCTGCCCTCAGGGCGTGGCCTGTGACCCCGTCAGCGGCCAGTGTGGGGGGCCGTGTCCTGCCGGCTACCAGGGGAAGGACTGTGATCAAGGTCAGTGGCTGGCCCCAGCGATGCCCAGGGTCGGGTGGGGTGTGGGTCCTCTGGCCCCACCCTGGTCGCCCAGTGGCAACTCCTCACTGGTCTGCCTGTCCCCGTGGCCCCGGTCAGGGCTGCTGGGACGAGAGTGGGTCTGTGTGCCCGGGGCCGGGCCCAGGGAAGGGGTCGCGTCCTCTAACGTTGTTCCCTCCCTACCCCGCCCCCCCACTTGTTAGCTAGAGCATGCTCAGAGTGCTGGGATCCGGGGGGCTGGCACTCCGTCCTGGTGGGTCTGAGTCTCTGGGACCTTGGCAGCTACTGGAAGCGCCGTCTTGGGCTGGAGGTGCAGCGTGGTGCGCGGCGCATGACGAAGGCCGTCCGCACGGCTGCCCTGGCCTGGGGCTGGAGGGAATGGGTGCAGAGTGGTGGGCCCGCTGGAGGCCCGCCCCGTGTTTACACACCGCAGGCAGCCTGAGTCCTGGGGTGACCCCGGCCCCGCTCACAGGGTGCGGGCAGCTGGGGGCCTCCCGTGGCATATGGTGTGTGTGCTGTTTGCACCTGCTGGCCCCAGGTGGCTGGGGACCACCGGGCCTATGGGGTGACTGATGTGAGCATGCCTGGGGGCCGGCTGGCTCGACCTCCCCCTATCCTGTCCCCTCTGGGGAACAAGGAAGGGGCCCTGGGGACCCAGCTGAGCGGAGGGGTCAGCGTCTCCCTCTGCAGCCAGGCTACGTCCCTCCAGAGCGGTGGTCCTGGAGACTGCGGTGCTGACCTTGTGCAGGGCTCTCGGGTCCCAGGGGTCCAGGAGGGATGTGTGGGGGATCCTGGGATCCCAGCCTGGACCCCCCAGCTCGACGTGCACCCCAAAGGGCTTTGTGGTGTCTGGTGCTCTCCTGTCCCTACGAGCTCTGGCGAGTCACAGGCTTCCCACCCAGACCCCTGACTCTTCTCTCGGCCTCCCCCAGACCCCCACGGACACTCAGCGGAGCGCTGGGGCACATGAGCACACATGTGCACCCGCTCCCCGGGCCCGCGGCAGCCGGGTGCTCTCTCCGGAGAAGTGTCCATCCTGCCCGCCGCCCTCTGCAGCGGCCCGTTAGCCTAATGTCCTCCGTGCAATTCCTTATCTTCCACATATGAGTGAAACCATATGATAATTGACTTTCTCTGCTTGACTTATTTCACTTAGCATAATCTCCTCCAGTCCCATCCATGTTGATGTAAAAGTTGGGTATTCATCCTTTCTGATGGCTGAGTAATATTCCATTGTATATACGGACCACATCTTTATCCATTTATCTGTCGATGGATGTTTGGGCTCTTTCCATAGTTTGGCTATTGCGGACATTGCTGCTATGAACATTGGGGTGCACATGGCCCTTCTTTTCACTACATCTGTGTCTTTGGGGTAAATACCCAGGAGCGCAATTGCTGGATCGTGTGGAAGCTCTATTTTCAACTTTTTGAGGAACCTCCATACTGTTTTCCAGAGTGGCTGCACCAGCTTGCATTCCCACCGACAGTGGAGGAGGGTTCCCCTTTCTCCGCATCCCCGCCAACATCTGTCGTTTCCTGACTTGTTAATTTTAGCCATTCTGACTGGTGTGAGGTGTATCTCATTGTGGTTTTGATTTGAATTTCCCGGGTGGCTAATGATGATCGTTTTTCCATGTGTCTGTTGGCCATGAGCTTTCCTTGCAGCCCAAGGGGAGGAACTGCAGGGCTGCCCAGGGTCACCGCCGCCGGCCCGCCCTGCCGGGGCAGGTGCAGCGTGGGGGAGGCTATGCTCGGGCTGGTCAGGGGCTTCCAGCACCCGGGGCTCTGCCTGTCCCCACAGGGAGGCGCAAGGCTCCTGGCCCCCACATGCTTCGCTGCAGCTCTGCAGTGGGCACAGAGCAGCTGGGCCAGTCCTTCTCTGGAGGCTTGCTCTCCTTGTCTCCACTCCTCCCTGGGGTCTCGCTGCCCCTCTGCTGGGCAGAGGGGGAGGGGGTCCCAGGACTCCGGGTCCTCCACACTCTCTTAATGTGCCTGGCTCCCGTGGCAGCCCCCGTCCTGCTGGGAGAGGGCCACAGCTGGGGGTAAAATGGTGTATGCAGGCCCCTACCTCACCCCCCTCGCGCGCTTTGGGAATCTGAGACCGAGGGGGCCAGACTTGTCTTGGGCTTCCTGGCTGGGTGGGAGGGGGTAGGAAGGAGGACAGAGCTGCTGCCAGCTTGCTGCAGGATGCCCAGAGTCTGTCCTGCACCCCTCCCCCCGAGCAGGTCCCCCCCGCCCATGTGCCCTGTGCTCTGCATGCTCCGTGGTCACCGGGGGCCCTGGCTGAGCCCAGCAGCCCTGCTGGGGCAGGGGGCAGCCCCACAAGGAGGCCCTTGCGGTTCCTCCCTGCAGAGTGCCCGGGGGGGATATTTGGCTCCCGTGGGGGGCACCCTGCGACCGGGTCATGGGGCAAGGACTGTGCCCTCCAGGGAGGACTGGGGACGGCTGGGGGCAGGTGAGTGGCCGTGGTGTCCTGCGACACTCTCCCTTCCCCGTGCTACACGACTCTGGGTAGTCACAGCCCTGGACCGAGTTTGGGGGTCCTGCAGAGCCCAGGCCCGTGCTTAGCAGCTGAGGGCCCATGCCGAGCCGCCCTTGGGTCTGAGCTGGAGGGTCTGCGCTGACCTGGGTGCCCCCGGGTCCGGTCAGCTGCGGTGCCAGCTTGGCCAGCAGAGCCCCCGGCACTCCTGGGGGCTGTGCTTTGTCCTCCAGGCTGCCTGCCCACCGCCTGTCCTGGGGCAGGGGCCCCTCTTCTGGGGGTGGTGCTCTGCAGCCTGCGGCCCACAGGGGAGTTGGGGGTTCCCATGAGCCGTTCCTCCCCCTCCCTGGGCCGTGGCGCAGGGTCAGTGCCATGTCAGACGGGGCCAGGAAGGCCCCAGGCCAGACTGACTGCCTGTGGGGGGGCTAGATTGTCCCGAGGGCCGCTGGGGGCTCGGCTGCCAGGAGATCTGCCCGGCGTGTGAGCATGGTGCTACGTGTGAGCCTGGGACCGGAGCCTGCCTGTGTCCCCCCGGTTATGTGGGCAGCCGCTGCCAGGACCGTGAGTATGGGGCCCCCTGACCTGCGGGACGTCAGCCCCTAGCCTGCGCCCGGCCGCCCCGCTGGCTGACCCTCCCCTGCCCTGCAGCGTGCCCCGCAGGCTGGTTTGGGCCCGGCTGCCAGACGAGGTGCTCCTGTGCCAACGATAGGAACTGCCACCCGGAGACCGGACATTGCAGCTGTGCCCCTGGATGGACCGGCCTCGGCTGCCAGAGCGGTGGGTGGCCCGGGCTCGGGGGGCCTGGGGGGCAGCAGGAGGCCCGGTGCCTGGCCTGGCTGCGGGGCCGTGCTCTGCTGGGCTGACTCGGGCTGTGTTGCAGCCTGTGATGACGGGCGCTGGGGACCCGACTGCAGCCGCCCCTGCACCTGCAGCCCAGGCCACGGGAGCTGCGACGCGGTCAGCGGCCTGTGTGTGTGTGAGGCCGGCTACACGGGCCCGCGGTGCGAGCAGCGTGAGTCCCGGGCCGCCCACAGCCACGCACCCACGGACCCACGCACGTGCACGCACGCCCACGCGACCACACACCAGGGGCTCTGGTCCCGCCCTTCTGTCCGTGGGACGGGTCTCCTCCCCTGAGCTCCCCCAGTTCCCCCTGTCCCGCCGGGCCCAGGCACCCCCAGCCTACCTGGGTCTGTGAGGTGCAGCTGGAGCAGCGGGCCGGGAGGGCAGGGAGGGGCCACCTGGCACCTGGAGGAGGGCAGGACCAAGGGCCATGGCTTCCGAGTGTGTCCCCCGCTGCCCCAGGCTGGGGCAGCTCCAGAGGCCATGCCTGGGCGCCTACCCCTCTGGGCGCCGGCTCAGTCCTTAGTTGGGCAGGCAGGGGCGCGTGCCCACGGTCCCCTCCCCGCCCGGGCCGGCAGAGGTGCAGGCGGGTCTGGGTTGGTCTCCCCCGCTCCAGCTGACCGTGGCCGGGGTGCGTGTCTCAGGGTGTCCCCAGGGCCGCTTTGGGCCGGGCTGTGGGCAGCGGTGTCGGTGTGAGCACGGGGCGGCCTGTGACCACGTCAGTGGGGCGTGCACCTGCCCGGCCGGCTGGAGGGGAGCCTTCTGTGAACGCGGTGAGCTGGGGCGTGTGTGTGGGCTGGCGGGCGGACCCTGCCACCCCGGCCGTGTCCCATCACCACCCGCTCTCTGCAGCCTGCCCGGCGGGCTTCTTCGGCCTGGATTGCCGCGGCGTCTGTGACTGCGCCCCTGGGGCCCCCTGTGACTCTGTGAGCGGCTCCTGCCTCTGCCCTGCTGGCCGCCGGGGCCCCCGCTGTGCGCAGGGTGCGTGAGGCCAGGCAGGCCTGGGGGCTCCAGGAGAGGGGCTGCCGGCGTGTCAGGCCCTCTGTGTGGCCACCCTAGGGGTGCTCAGGCCCGAGGGGAGGGAAGCTTGCCCAGCTGCCCCAGATCTGCTGCAGCGCCCCCAGACCCCTGACGGTCCCCCCCACCCCGCAGCCTGCCCCGCCCCCACCTACGGACACAACTGCAGCCAGACCTGCTCCTGCTTCAACGGGGCCTCCTGCGACCCCGTCCACGGACAGTGCCGCTGTGGCCCTGGCTGGATGGGCCCCACCTGCCTGGAGCGTAAGCCCCCCAGGAGTCTGGGACCAGGGCTGGTGGCAGCCCCTCCCTGTTCCACGCGGGGTCACGTGGGTGCGGGCTGCTGGTGGACAGGAGTCTCAGCGGGAGCAGCGGGCGGGGGGCTGGGGCCTGGCACCGGGGGGGACGGGTCGGCAGGGAGGTGCCGAGCTCCGCAGGGCTGGGTTGGTGGGCCCGGGGTGGCCCAGGGCGGCTTGTCGTGGAGGCAGCCCCGGGAGAGGTCCTCCCCACAACGTCTGCTGTTGGGTTTTGGGGGGCCGGGGAGGTGCAGAATCACTGGGGCTGACGCTCGCTGGGGGCGGCGTGGGGCCCGCTGGGCTGGGCTGCTGCGAGTTGCTCCCTTCCACCGCAGCCTGCCCCACGGGCTTGTACGGCCCCAGCTGTGAGCACGCCTGCCTCTGCCAGCATGGGGGCACCTGTGACCCCGTGTCAGGCCACTGCACGTGCCCAGAGGGCTGGGCTGGCCTGGCCTGCGAGCAGGGTGAGCCCAGGTCAGGCAGAGGAGGAGGCGGGACCCGGGAGCCAGGGCGGGTGCCCCAAAGCATGCTGGCCCACCCCGCTCTCTGTGGGCAAAGAGCTTTCTGCCGGCGGGTCTGCGGTGTGACCTCCCCCCAGGCCCCTCCCCTTCTCCAGGACGGGGCCCCAGGCTCTGGGTGCGGGAAGCACGGGTGGGGTGGGGTCTCCCGGGCCCTGGGGCCTGGGGCACTGCTGGGGTACTGTGCCCCACAGAGTGCCTCCCCGGGCGCTTCGGAGCCGGCTGCGAGCACAGTTGCGGATGTCTCAACGGCGGCCTCTGTGAGCGGCGCTCGGGCCGCTGCCTCTGCCCAGCCGGCTGGACCGGGGACAAGTGTCAGAGCCGTGAGTGGGCCGGGTTGGGGGCTGGGGCGCGGGGGGAGGCCAGGAGGCCCCGCTGGTCCTGTCAAGGGGTGGCCTGAGCCTCGCTCCAGGGTGGAGGGCCTGTGAGCTAGTCCCTTGGCAGGTGGGGGCAGGGGCTGCCGTCCGAGCTCCCAGGGGTCCCCGGTGGGAGGGGCGGGGGGCATTTGGCCCTGCTCGCGCCCCTGGCGCCGGACTCAGCCCTCTGCCTTGTCTCGCCCACCGCAGCCTGTGCTGAGGGTACGTTTGGGGCACGCTGTGAGGAGCGCTGTGCCTGCCAGCGGGGGGCCACCTGCCACCATGTGACGGGGGCCTGCCTCTGCCCCCCGGGATGGAGAGGCTCGCGGTGTGAGAACGGTGAGCCCCTCGGCTCCGCCAGCACCCACGGGGCCCGCCGCTCGGGGGGGCGGGTCTTGGCACAGTGATCCCTCCGGGCTGCCCTGGCCCCAGGCCTCCCCACCACCCCCGCACTGGCTTCCCGCAGCCTGCCCGCTTGGCCGGTTCGGAGAGGCCTGTGCCCAGCGCTGCCTGTGCCCGCCCGGCGCCGCCTGCCACCACGTCACCGGGGAGTGCCACTGCCCACCAGGCTCCACGGGGCCCGGCTGTGAGCAGGGTAGGTGACCCCACCCAGGGGGGCAGAGCGGCTGGTAGCTGAGGTGCATGGACCCCCGAGCTGCACCCGAAACCTCCAGCCCCAGACGGGGCCACGTGGGGGGCGTGTTCCTGAGCTGGGCCAGGACTGACCTCTCCCGTCTGCACCCCAGCCTGCCCACCCGGCCCCTCTGGGGAGAGCTGTGGGCAGAAGCGCCATTGTCCCGGCGAGAACCAAGCCGCCAGGTTGTCCTCCGGAGGGACTGCTCATCCCAGGGGTGGGGGTGGGATGCCAGGGGGCGAGGCCTGGCCCCTGGCCTCTGGCACCTGCCTGTGTCCCTGCAGAATGCCCCCCCGGGCGCTTTGGGCCTGGCTGTGAGCAGCAGTGTGAATGTGTCCACGGGGACTCCTGCGACGCAGCCACCGGGGCCTGCCTCTGCCCTGCTGGGTTCCTGGGGGCCAACTGCAGCCTGCGTGAGTGGCTGGGGGGACGGAGGGGGTGGCTGCTCCCTGGGCCTCCGTGGGCAGGGCCCCCCAGCCAGCCTGTGGGGAAGACAGCCCCTGACCGTCTGTCTTCCTGACTCTCCTGCTGGGCCTGGCCCCAGGCCGGGCTGAGGTGGGGGTGTCTGTGTGACCCCAGTGTCTGTGCCGGCCAGCTCTGCCCTCCCCCTCGCCCCGCACTGGCCATGCTCAGCAGGGTTTGTGCACCTCTGTGCAGACGGAGGCCAGCTAGACATCCCGCCGAGGAGTCTCCATCGGGCTGGGAGCCTGGCTGGGTCAGCAGGAGTGGGGTGGGGGGCAGCAGTTAGTCACTGTCCCTGCAGAGCCGGCCTGGCCCCCAGCAGACCTGCGGGTGGAGGGGAGATGCCAGGGCGGGCAGGGGCACGGGAGGTCCCCACAGGCCATCTCTGGGCTGACGTGGCAGAGAGAAGGGGAGCTGGCAGGGGTGGCCACCGTCCTCTTTCCTCCCGGCAGCCTGTCCACAGGGCCGCTTCGGCCCCAGCTGCGCCCACGTGTGCAGGTGTGGGCAGGGAGCATTCTGTGACCCCGTGACCGGCATCTGCACCTGCCCCCCCGGGAGGACTGGTGTCCACTGTGAGCACGGTGAGCGCCCGCTCTGCCTGCCCTTCTGCGTTTCACAGATGCCACTGCGTCCGGCTGGTGGGGGGCCGATGGGGAGAAGCCATGGGTGCCCCCGGGGAGAGCCAGGTCCTGGAGCCCGGTGGTACATTTGCACCAGCCGAGCCTCCACTGACCCGTCAAGTGGCTGGTGGGGGCTGGACAGGTTCCAACCCAGAGCCTCCTCGCAGGAGGGTCCAGCGGCTATTTTGTCTGAGGACAAAGCCAGCTGACTGGCTCAGGTACCGTGGTGCAGGGTCCTGCTGGCCCTTTCTGCTGGGCCTGGAGGCCGGGGGCCCCAGGTGGAGGCCCGGGGCACAGGGCGTGGTGGGGGAAAGGGGGTGACCCCAGGAGCAGTCATGGGGCTCCCCCCGTGATGGCAGGCCCGGTCCCCATGGCCACAGCTATGGCCCCTTGGCCTGGCTCCCGTATCCTGGTAGGTCAGAGCACTCTGCCAGCCTCTGGTCCTCCTGCATCAAGGGATCAGTGAGCTCCCCACTGACCCCCCAGTTCTTAGCCGGTGGCAGTGGAGTCCTAAGCCCTGCGGCCTGGCTGCAGCTAGGCTGTGTCTATGGCTCCAGGGAAGTTCAGTAGCCACGGGTCAATCAGATCGTGATCAGGGGCCATCTGGAGAGCCAGGCCGCCCCGCTGCCTCCGCCTGGAGGATGTGCCTGTGCAGAGGGCCCCCGCCTCCAGGAAGGCTGCCCTAACCAGCTCCCACCAGCTGGGCAGGCGCTCCCTGCCCCTCCTCAGTGCGCGGAGAGGGTGGAGGCATGGGCGGGACCGGCTGCTGTCAGCTCCCTGCTCGCCTGCAGCAGAGGCTGGCCCCGGCTCGGGTTTGTGGAATGGAGGCCAGGTGTGGTGGGGACTGTCCCAGAGCGTGTCCGGCCCTGGCCCGGAGCTCTGAGCGGCGCCTGACTCCTGCCCCCAGGCTGCCCTCAGGACCGGTTTGGCGTGAGCTGTGAGCGCGTGTGTCCCTGCAGGAACGGCGGTCTGTGCAATGCGGCCAATGGTCGCTGCTTCTGCGGCCTGGGCTGGACAGGGCCGCACTGTGAGCTGGGTGAGCAGGCGGGCCGCGCCCTGGGCGGGCAGGGGGCTGGCTCTGGACCCCTGGGGGAGCCCCGGGCTCAGGAGCTCTGTGTGGGGCTGCCGTGGGGCTGGGCAAGGCCCCCGGGGTCACGAGAAGCAGACTGGTGCCCGGGGGCCATCCCTTGGGCCCCCTGCCCTTGGGCCCCTGCCCTTGCGCTGCCGAGGCCGACCCGCCGGCTCTCCCCCCAGCCTGCCCTCCTGGCCGCTACGGTGCCGCCTGCCGTCTGCAGTGCTCTTGCCAAAACAACGGCACGTGCGAGCCCACCACGGGCACTTGCCACTGCGGCCCCGGCTTCTACGGCCAGGCCTGCCAGCACTGTGAGTCCTGGGGTGGGGACCCCGGCCCCGGTGGCTGTTCCGCGTGGGACGTCGGGGCCAGCGTGGGCTTCCCCGTGGCCGCTGTCCCTGCCCCTCCCCATGGCGGCCGGTGAGACAAGGCCCGGCCCCACTCCCTGTGGGACTCGAGGCCAGAGGTCCCTGGCTCGGGGCCCATGAGAGCAGGGGGACCTCCCACCGAAGCCCCAGCCGCGATGGGGGGTCTAGGCCTGGGTGGGAGAAAGGGGGAGCGCGAGCCTCTGAAGCAGGACCTGTGCTCACTCGGGGCGGGCTGAGGTAGGGGCTCTAACGGGGGTGTCCCTCAGTCTGTCCCCCCGGCTTCCACGGGGCTGGCTGCCGGGCAGCATGTGAGTGTCAGCACGGGGCCCCTTGCCACCCTGTCAGCGGCCAGTGTGTCTGCCCCGCCGGCTTCTACGGCCAGCTCTGTGAGAGGGGTGAGTGCTCCGTGTTCCCACGTGCTCCCTGGCCCTGTCCTGTCCGGTAGGGGACAGGAGGGGACACTGAGTCCACTGCCCCCGTCCAGGGTGCGAGCCAGGCTCTTTTGGAGAGGGCTGCCGCCAGCGCTGTGACTGCAGGGCGGGGGCACCCTGCGACCCCATCACCGGCCAGTGCCTGTGCCCCCCGGGGCGTACAGGGGCCGCCTGTGACCTTGGTGAGTCTGGGGTCCCCTCGGCGGAGCACGGGCGCGGGTCTCTGCTGGTGGCAAGGGGGAGCTCTGCCCTGCCCTGGCCTGGGCGCTGTGCCCCCGGCGCCCGTCCTGCCCCTCTGCGGGGGTGTGCCCAGCGTGGGGCTCCTGCTCAGGGATGTCAAGGCCTCGCCCTGCTCTCTGGCCAGAACGGGGGCCCTGGTGAGGTGCGAGGGAGACCGTCCTGATCTGCCAGCCTGCTCGGACATGGGAGGGGCTGTTTGCTGCAGGCTGCACGCATGATCTCACCGTTGTGTGTTCCTCTTGACTGGGGACGGGCATCCCTGACTGCCAGGCGCCCCACTTTGTCAGCCCCGGGCCTGCGCAGGTGCCCAGTACCTGGCGCCTTCCCAGGTGGGAGCTCCCACAGGGCAGGGAGAGTGAGGCCCAGAGGCCCTTGCTCCGCCCACCCCTACCCAGAGGGCCTGGGGTGCCCTGGCCAGAGCAGGTGGGATGGCCCTCAGGCCCGTGTCTCCCACTCCCTCCTGCCTGCAGACTGCACAGCGGGCTTCTTCGGGCCGGGCTGTGCCCTGCGCTGCGGCTGTGGGGCTGGGGCTGCCTGTGACCCCGTCAGTGGGCTGTGCACCGTGTGAACGGCTCCCTGGGGCCCACCTGCCAGCAAGGTGAGTCAGGCTCCCGAGGGGGAGGCGGGAAGACAGCGTGCTCCCCGGCCTGGCCCCAGCGCGGCCCCGCTCCTCCCCCGCCCCTCCCCCAGAGCTGAGCAGCCAGCCTAGCTGGTGAGAATGTCACCGCCCACCTCCCGCACCCCCCACCCCCCCGGTACCCGAGGTGTCTGCCTGGCTTCTCACGGGCGGGGTGTGGGCCTTGTAGTGGCTGGACGGCAGGTGGGGTGGGGTTCTGCCGGCCAGCAGCCCCCAGCCCTGTGGGTGGGCGGATGATCCAGGGTAGCTGGGCGCTGACCCCCCGCCTTGCCCTGCATGTGCGTGCACAGGGGCGTGATGGTGCACCCCTGCCTACGTGTGCTTCAGTCTGTGTGTGCAGGCCAGGGCCCACCGGCAACCCCCAACCCCGGGGGGTGGGGGAGGGTGCTGTGACAGCCGCCTGGCCTCAGCCCCCACGGCCCCCGGGGGAGCGTGCGTCTGCAGGCAGAACTCGGGGTGCCCTGGAGCCCCCTGGTCAGCTCGCCCAGGCCCAGGCTGCTGAAGGGAGGGGGGTCGTGTGCTGGGAGGGTTGCGTCCGGGCCCGCGGGGATGGGGGGGCCAAGCCGTGAGTGGGGATTCCAGACGGGCCCACGGCCTGGGAACCCCACAGGCGGGCTGGATCTTATGTATGCACGTTTTTGCGCCCCTGGGAGGCAGCCCTGGCCCGCGACTGTTAGGAGCCCCAGGCGCGGGGTCTCCTGGCGGGCGGAGGCGGCCCTGGATGGAGCGCCCCCATGGCGGCACCTGGTGGCCGTCTGTGGTACTGCACCGCAGGCCCCAAGGTGGTCCCCGCAGCCGGTGTGTAGCTGGGGTCTGGGACCTGGGTCACCCTTCAGGCCCGTGGGAAGGAGGAGAGGCTAGGCTGTGCTGCCTCGCAGTCCTAGGCTCTGCCCCCTGCCCTGGAGTGGACTGGTGCTTTCTAACAAAGCCCCTCCCAGCCCGCCATGCTGCTGGGCTGGGGGAACTGGGAGCTTTCATTTGGGGAGCGGGGGAGGCCCTGCTCTTTGCGAAGGTGTGAGCAGGGGAGGGGAGAGGCTTTGCTGGGAGGAGCCTTCGGGCCCAGGTGGGAGAATGGCATTTGCATTTGGGGGCGCCACTGGCCTATGACCGGCAGACGGAGGTCAGAGGAGGGATGAGGGTTGCACACTTTTCTAGAACCGGGGCCCCACAGGGCAGCGGGCCATCCAGAACCTGGACCTCAGAGATGAGGCTGGGCAGAAGCTGGGGAGGAAGGGGGCCGTCTCCCCTCTGGGCTGGAGCTGGAAGGGCAGGAGGGGACACGGGAAGTGTGAGCCCAGAGCTTGGGCAGCTTCAGGAGTTTCTGCCTGCCCTGGCGCTGACCCTCGTTCCCCCTGTCCTTCCACCTGCCCTGGCGCTGACCCTCGTTCCCCCTGTCCTTCCACCTGCCCTGGCGCTGACCCTCGTTCCCCCTGTCCTTCCACCTGCCCTGGCGCTGACCCTCGTTCCCCCTGTCCTTCCACCTGCCCTGGCGCTGACCCTCGTTCCCCCTGTCCTTCCACCTGCCCTGGCGCTGACCCTCGTTCCCCCTGTCCTTCCACCTGCCCTGGCGCTGACCCTCGTTTCCCGTCCCTACAGCGGCCTTACAACCAGCTTCTCACGAACCAGCACTTGGGCTCGGCAGCCGGGCAGAGAAACCCTCGCTCAGAGGCAGCCGCAAGCAGGTCCTTCTTCCAGGCGCTTCGCTGACGACTGAGGAGGGGCGCCTGGGGGCCGGCCAGGACTCCGGCCCAGACTGCCCGGCCCTGCGGCCCCGCACTGGGCAAGGAGCGGCTGGCCGCGGGGAGGGAGGCCCTGCCTGGCCTAGCTCCAAGGGGCCCAGGCGAGTGGGCCCGGCCTCGGGCTGTTGTAGCACCCAGCTGCGCTGGCCGCACGTGCTGAGGAAGCCCTCCCCCCGCCCCCCAGCCGCCCCCTCCATGGCCCTGGGTCAGGACTGAGGGCAGGCATGGCTGCAGGTGCAGGCAGGGGTCCCTGCCCTCTGAGCAGGTTCTTCTGGTGCTAGGCCCTGGGACTGCTGCGCTCAGCCCGTTTACCTGGAATCGTGGCCCACTGTATTTATGGAGAAGTATTTATGGGCAGCCGGCCATGCCCACTGCGCCCCTGGGCACCGACAGGCTGCCCCTCCCTGCCTGCCCCAGGAAACCCTGCTGCAGGACTTTGCCCCTCCCCCCCTCCGCGGGGCCTCTGGGCGGCGGGCTCCAGTACATGTGAAACCCAGGAACTTAAGAAAGAAGCTGCCGCTTCCTTGTGGCCTGTGTGTTCGCTGCTTTGGGCTCACGGTGCTGGCGTCCCAGTGCGTCAGCAGGAGAGTGTTTGGACAGGAACGTCCTCCGGACCAGGGAGGCCCCACAGGCGCCCGGCCCCAGCTGGTCCCTGCCCCTCCCTGGGGGTGGGGGTGGCACACGAGGAGAGTTGGGGTGTGTCCTGGCTCCTGGTCTGGGAGGGGCACGCGGGGCTGGTCTGCGTGTGGGAGCATGGCCCCGCGGGGAGGAGGCTGGCCCGAGCGCATGAGTGATGTGGGGGGGCAACATGGGCACCCCACCCCTCCTGTCTTGAGGGTGGAAACAGCAGAGGGGGCTGCCCAGTAGACTGGGTTGGACCCAGATGGCCACACCGGGCACTTAGGGTCTGGGCTGTAGCCCCCAGTCGCCTCCAACACCAGCCCAGCTAGCAGATACCCTCAAGGCAAAGGGTCTTGCTGAGTGAAATGAGGAGGGTTCTGGCAGCCACGTCCCCTTAAACAGACAACTAGGGAACGGCCCGTAGCAGAGAAAGCCAGTTAATGGGCTGCAGTGTTCAGGCTTTCAAGTAAATGTAATGAGGGCCCCAGGACAGGATGGGGGGCCAGGCTGGTGACCATACAGGAAGAAGCTCTTCCGGGAGGAACAGGGGCTGGACAGTGGGCTCTGTAGTCCAGGGCCTCTGCTGAGAGCGGCAGGGAGGCTCGGAGGGAGGGGACACCAGAGGAGGAAGGTTAATGGAAGCGGAGGAGGGGAGGCGTTAACCTCCTCTAATGAAGCTCTAGATCGAGAGGGAAAAAATCAGCAGGAAGCAACAACAGAGGTGGATCTCAGACTGAAAGGGCTCCACACGGCAGAACAGGAGTAAGCCACTCATGCTCTAAAGAATTTTAAGGAAATCACCAGCAAGGAGATCCTAAAAGGCCCAGGAAAAAAGAACAGAGATCCGCGTGGCATCAGACTTGAAACTCTGGAAACCAGGACAGTGACGTTCTGTTCTCAAAGCACCAAAGAAAAATTTTTGAAACTCGAAATGTGTGTGTTGTTAAAGTGTCTGAAAAACAAAGCCAGGGTTACTTCCTGGGGGTTAACCTTGGAAGCCAGAGCTGAAACCGTGCCTGGAGGATGCTCGCCAGCAAGAAGAGCAAGACCTGCAGGTGCAGCGACATGTTCCCGTGTCACCTAGTGGCAAAGAGAAGCAAACATTCACAGTGAGCGACAGCAGGGGCGGGGAGAGCGTGCCAGGGCCCTCCCTGCTGGCGAGGGACACGGACAGACCACGGACGCTGGCGGGGTAAGCACACCGGAGTGAGGCAGCCCCGCTCCCTGCAGGGATACGGGCAGGCTGGGCAGCCTTTCAGCCCCTGGAGGACGTGTCCTCACTCCGCTGGAAGGCGGGGAAGGAGGAAAGACAAGCGGAGTAAGAAAGTAGATCCGCAAGGCCCATAAATGGGGACAAGGGACAATCAAAACCTGGGTCCCAGCGCGGCCTTAGATGCTGCTCAAGGGTATTTGAACTGTGAAAGATGCCCCTAGAAGGATGGACGTAGACATATACGAAGCAAATCAAAAGAAAGCTGGGGTAGGAGCTTTAATGTTTTCGGGGTGAAACACATCAGAAGTGGTGGTGTGGAAATCCGGGTGCGGATGTATGCAAGTGACCGCGGAGGCTCGGAAATTCGCAGGACTGATGCTGTAGCTGGAAATAATCTGTACCAGCTGGTGATTTTAACGTGTTCTTTAAAAAAAAAAAAAAAAAAATAGGTCAAGCAAACAGGACATAAGCAATGATAAAAGTTTAGTAAGCTTTAACGCACGTGGTATACAGATATTTATGCTCATATTCACACGTTCATCCTATTCATATACACAGAATTTGTATCTATGTATATAAACTTCACACTCACAAATGGAGAACGATGCAACACTTAACAAAACGAAAACCCCTTTGAAGATGAGTAAGGAAGAAAAGAACTAGGAGGATTGATGATTTTTTTTTTAAAGATTTTATTTATTTATTTGAGACAGAGAGAATGAGAGAGAGAGAGCACATGAGAGGGGGGAGGGTCAGAGGGAGAAGCAGGCTCCTCGCTGAGCAGGGAGCCCGATGCGGGACTCGATCCCGGGACTCCGGGATCATGACCTGAGCCGAAGGCAGTCGCTTAACAAACTGAGCCACCCAGGCGCCCGATGATTTTTTTTTAAACAGAGAAAACACAGAAGGAAGAATTAACGCACAGACATGATGAAGAGTAAGACGTAAAAATGATATTAAGAGTGACCACATACAAGGAACTTGAAATTTTTTTAAAAAAATGGGTAAGTTTTGAGGGAAAATATGAAATGCCAGGATTGGTGTTGGTAGAAATAAAAAAACTTGAATGAGCCAGTAACGTAAGTAAATGCAAATAGTAACGGGAGCCCAACACCACACCCAGGAGTGCCTGAGACGTCAGCCCGTGTGGGTGGGTGTGCCAGTTTCTAGACATGGTGAAGCTGTCTAATGTGAATTGTTCCGGAACCTCTAAAAAGAAGAAAAGCAGCTCACTTCATTCCATGAGGCCAGTATAACCTGGTTCTAAAACCAGGTGGGGGTGGTACAAGGAGAGATTACAGACTCGTCATGTGTATGCAGAAATCCTCATCCACACATGAGCAGGAGGGACAGAGGGAGAGGGAGAATCCTCAAGCAGACTCCCTGCTCGACTCGGGGCTGGATCTCATGACCCCGAGATCAAAACCTAAGCTGAAGCCAAGAGTCGGATGCTTAACCGACTGAGCCACCCAGGCGCCGCACCACTCAAAAATATTTAAAAAATAATATCAGCTCGATCCAATGGGGATTGCACTTGACTAAAATGCCAGGACAGTCTAACACACAAAATGCGTTGACGTATTTGGGGAGACGAGAAATCGGATGATTGACGGAAGCAGAAAGAGCATTCTGTAGAATTCAGCATCTCTTCAGGATATAAATTCTTGGAAAACCGGGGTGGGTACAGACAGGACCTTTGTCGACAGTGATCATGCATCAAGAATCTCTTGCAAGTCTGGTGGAGAAACCAGGGGCTCAAGTCTCTGAGTGAAGGCTTGCGGGCCGGCAATGCCCGCCCAACACACCCTGGAGCCCTGCTCTCTCCTCCCTGCGCTATCCACTTCCCTGGCCCTGACCCGGGAGCCCCCAGCTCTGGCTGTCCTTCCCCCGGGAGGATGCAGTCTGGGAGATGGGGTCCCCCAGATGGACGGGGCCTGGGTAGGGCCCCTTAAACACTGTGGGAGGAGCAAACAGCTTCCCTGGGAGGGAGACTGGACACCAGCATGTCTCCTGTCCCCCCCCCCCCCGCCCCTCCCAGTGGAGCTCCCCAGGCCCCACTCGGTGAGAGCTAGAAACTAGGACGTGAGGCTGTGGGGAAGAGAGAACCCTGCTCGGGGGCCCAGTGGGGCAGGACTTGGGATGCAGAAGGGCCAGCAGATGAATGAGCGCGACTAGGAATCAGAGTGAAAAGCATGGATATCCTATGAAGTGTGTAAAACCTATGAAGGTCGGTAGAGCTTCAGCAGAGGCCGTGATGAACCAGGAAACAGTACCAGGTACGACATCCTTCAACGCGACAACAAGACCCATCTGTGCCCGCGGGTTTATCTGGCAAAAGGATGCATGAAGCCCCGAACCATATTAGGAGCCCTGCAAGGGGCGGAGGGCCCCCGATCTGGTGCGACCCCAGGCCCAAGAGCGCCCAGGGACGGGCTGACAGGTGACAGCTGGGGGGAGGGGGTTGGGGGTGTGTAACATGGGGCTAATCTCGGTATCAATGGCAGTAACCAAGGGTGATGATGAAGTGTGCGGGATTCAGGGACACCCAGGGCCCACGAAGGTCTGGATGGAGATGCCAACCTGCATGCCTAAGGGGCAAGAGTCAGGGAGTCTGGGGGCTCTCGTCATGGCGTGGGGCATGAGGAGCCCCAGGCACTGCTGGGGTGCCACCACGGACACCTGGGGGCACTGGATGTCTTTAGGGCTGCGGGCATGGCCGAAGTGCCCTCCGCCAGCCACCCGGGCCCTCAAGGGAGGTGGGTCCTCCCTGCAGAAAGGCCCCAGAATGTTCCGGAGTGGTCCTAACAGCAAGTGGGTGGGCTGGGACACCTTGGTGTCTCTTCCCACTGGGCCCCATTGGGGTTGGCTGACGTCCCAGGAAGCCTGGGTGGCTCCCAGCAATGGGCAGAGGCTCTTGGGGCCTGTTTCCCCGCCTGCAACAAAAGGGGCCGTGCAGCTGGCCGGGAGGAGGCGCTGGGCTAAACAGCCTCTGGAGACCCCGCCCCAACACAGCAGGTGCAGCAGGGTTCTTCCAGGACGGCCTGGTGTCTGGAGGTGGGAGGCAGAAAGGTCTTAAGACCAGCTCTGCCCGAAGGCAGGTCAGAGCAGCCTCACCCTGGGAAGGGCCAGGGTTTGGGCTGGTCTGCTCTGCCCCCAGGCAGGGACCCCAGACCGAGCAGAGACCCCTCGGGGGGTCTCGAGTGGGCACTGGCGCTGGGGTAAGCCCTGGGCTTCCTCTCCATCGTGCACCCGCCTGGGCCCCTCCAGACCGAAGCAGCCCGGCCCTCTGCTTCCCGATTCCTCTTTGAAGGGTGTCTGTCCTGAGCTGGCCCTGCCCGGGCGGACCCAACCCCCCCCAGCAGCGCCCCCCCCCCCCCCGCATCCGGGGACATCCCTCCTCCCGGCTAAGCATTCTTCCTGCTTGCTTGGGAGGTAGAGGGGGCTTCAGCCACTGCAGACCGGAGGACCCGAGGCTGTGTCTTGGCCCCAGGTCAGGACATTAAGGGCGTGGCTCCAGGGCCGTCCAAGCTCTCTCTGCCCCATTCACTGAACCTGTCCCTGCCAGAGGGTGGACAGTAGACAGACCTGCCCTCCCCGTTGGGGGGTCAGCGGTGAGAGCAAGCGGGTGGGCCTCCTTCGGGGGGGAGCGGGCTTCCACCAAGATGCCGCCCCCGCCCCTGCCTGGCGCGCGCCCACGCCGGGCCCTGGCTGCCTGCTCAG